GTGAGCCACCGCGCCCAGCCTGTCACTCACTTTTCACTCCGAGGCATGGACAGAAGCTACCCCAAAAAGGTTCTCACTGAGTGACCCACTCAGTAAGAACCCAATATCTTGGTTCTTCTCATGCTCTCTCTCTGCCTTGTATTTCACTCAAGTTTTATAGCCAGTGTGAAAGAGACAGCCATACGTGGAATTTATAAGAAAATAACTTTAAAAAATAGTTTTGATTCTTGGCAACTCACTCCGAGTAGCTTCATCCACTGGAAAAATTAAACAGAGTTAAGAGAGTGGAGAGAAGAGACGACTGTGAAGGTTTATTGGAATAAGGCGTGGTGTGAGCAAAGGCCATCCCCTCCAAATAGGAAGTGGCATTTGGAGGCTTCGGCCTCCTCATCTCAAGAGGCCCCCGGTGGGCAGCTCCAGCAGAGAGCTACCTGGAGACATCAAGAAATGGCTGTTATAGTTAGGAGGGGCAGAGAGAACCAAGCCCAACTCGTGCAGAAATTCTGCAGGATGAGAAAAGTGCTGACAACTGCTACAGGGGTGGAACCAGGCAAGTCTTCACTGCTGCAACCGCTTCGAGGCAGAAGATAACAAGGGTTTCCTGTGTGTCAAGAGGGCCCAGTGCAGGGCTGTCTTACCCAGGAGGGCCACGGAGGTGAGGAGAAAGGGACCAACTAGCAGGACACTACAAGGGGACACTGGATCCCCAGAGGCTACAAAAGGGGGCATGGGCTGCCTCAGACGGAGAAGCTGGGGACTGCAGGCCTCTAAGGAAGACACACATTTACCCTGAGGGGAGAGTCAGCTCTTTAAACACCCGCCAGGCCCAGAGAGCAGAAAGCTGTCTTGGAAGAGTGAGAGCTTTCTTCTAACCCTTTCCCTTCCCCTGCACATGGCTCAAAGAGGAGGACCCTGTGGCCAGCACAGACACGCTGGCAGAGAAGGGTAGGAAGAGGGCGGCTGCCATAGCCCCTCACTCTTAAATGAGGCTCTGAGTTTTTAGTATCCATGAGACTGGGCTTCCAAATTAGTGCATTTAGATTCTGTTAATAACTGAGAGTGGCTGTAATACTTGTCTTACCACAGAGGCCAGGAACCTGCTGGAGTCTCATCCAGTGGCAGGGGGAAATAAGTTGGAAAAGAGAAGAGGAAACTAGAATACCACAGAGTTTGGGTCGTATGAAGGGCTCACGCTTGTGCAATAAATCCATTACATGTATTAATTACCTGCCTGTTCCCCTTGAACCCCCTCGAGAGGCCTGGGATCTCACCCAGGATCGGGGCTGAGGAGGAGACGGAAACAGCCAATGACAGTGCCGGTGGGGGTTTCATCTTGGTGGGCTTCTCTGAGAGACCCGAGCTGGAGCTGGTCCTCTCCCTCTTTGTCCTGATGTTCTACAGCATAACCCTGTGGGTAACGTGGCCATCATCTCGCTCTCCATCCTGGATGCTCATCTCCGCACGGCCACGTACTTCTTCCTCAGAAACCTCTCCGTGCTTAACCTCTGCTTCACCACCAGCATCGTGCCCCAGATGCTGGTGAACATGTGGGGAGAAAACAAGCAAATCAGCTATGCCGGCTGCATGGTCCAGTACTGGGTGGCCTTGGCACTTGGTTCCACCGAGTGCGTGCTCCTGGCGGGAATGGCAGTGGACCACTACATTGCCGTTTGCTGGCCTCTGCGCTATGCCTCCATCATGCACCCCAGGCTGTGTCACCTCCTGGTGGCAGCTTCCTGGTCCTCCGGCTTTGCCAACTCCTTCCTACAGTCCTCAATGGCCACGGTGCTGCCTCGATGTGGAAACCAGCACGTGGACCATTTCTTCTGTGAGCTGCTGATCATTGTTAAACTCTCCTGTGTGGATACTGGCCCAAAAGAGTCCAAAATGTTTATCGCCCGGCTGATCATCCTAGGCATACCTGTCTCTATCATCCTGACCTCCTATGTGTGCATTGCCAGGGCAGTAGTGAAAATGCGCTCAGCAGGAGGAAGGAAAAAGGCCTTTGGGACCTGCGCCTCCCACCTGATAGTGGTCTCACTCTTCTATAGGACCATAATGTTTTTGTATCTGCAGCCAAAGGACAACTACTCCCAGGACCAGAGCAAAACATTCGCGGTGCTCTACATGATCCTCACGCCCACCCTCAACCCCCTGATCTACACGCTAAGGAACAAGGACCTGAAGAAAGCAGTCAGGAAGGTGACGGGGAAGGAGCAGGTGTAGGGAGATGGGGAGCTGGAAGGGCGGGTGAGGCAATCATAGGACACAGAACCGGGTGTGCTTGTTTTAACTGCACTGCATTCACTTTTCCACGGGATGGGGCAGGATATCTGCTGTGTCCTATCCTCTCGCTATTCCTGGGACCCTTTCTGGGTGGGGACTCACTAAAAGGAAACAACCATCCCTTAGAGGCACCTCTGGTCAAGGAATTTCTCACTGGCAAGTAATTCTGTATCCCACTGCTAGCACCCTTCTAGTCTCCATGAACAGTTATTGATGTATTCAAATGCCTCCGAATATACCTCTGGATGTTATAATGACACTGATGACAATCCTACCATGTTTGTGAAGGACCTTCATGGCTGTAGCTGCTCCTTCATCGTCTCCATCACCTTTCTCAGCTCACCACTGTTGAGGCAGTCAGGCACAGTGAGCTACGGGGGATTTAGTCAGCAATGAACAATGGAATACCCTTCTATTGCAGATGAACATATGTAAAACAAGAACAACCAGTTAAACATAATGAATACACAGATATTAGACACGATATTAAGGATTCCTGTTTTTTAGAACTAAAAAGAATTCCATGACCATTCAGGGCAAGGCTACAGCATATGTCAAATTTAATGTTGTTTATAACATAATTCTAGAGGAGATATTTGAATAATACGAATACACAGGTTTGATTTTGGGGAGTGTAAGACAGTTTATAAATTTCAAGATTACAAAAATGATTACTGAATAAAAAGAACTGTGAGTTAAGCAGAGAAAAATGTAACAGAACTCAGTGAGCCTCCAGAGTTCTCCACTTACTTCCATAGAAGGAGAATAGAAAAATCAAAAATCACTATTTTGATTAGGCTGTGGGTGGCATGCTATTATGCCCAATTATGATGGACTGGAAGCAGTACTTTTGTCCTCAAACTGCTCGTTCATATGCTTATAAATGAGCCTAATGCTCTGTAAATACTCAGTAAATTGGATTGAATGAATGATGCAGCAAGATGTCCATGTGAGATGGCAGCACGTGGGTTGGAATGCCTCAGAAACATCTTTGTGGTATCATATGCAACATTTCACTCACAGAGGATGAACATTTTGTATTGGCAAGTGACTGACAGTGTAGATTGAAAAATAAAATTATCATATATATGATTGGCTGCAGCCATCTGTACTGAACTAGACCATTATAACCATAGTGAAACACAACAGGCAGGGATTAGTTCAAATGCAAATCATTGCTTAAAAGGAGAAAAAGAAATAACCTTGCTGGTTATTGCTTTTTAATTAAAGCAGTGGTTCTCAACAAGAGACAAGGGACAATTTTGTTCCACTACTCACCCCAGCAGAGGACATTTGGTAATTGTTGGAGACATTTTTCTTATTATACCCTGGGAAGGAGGTGATACGGACATTTGATAAGTAGAGGTCAGAAATGCTGCCAAATATCGTGAGACACACAGGATGGTCCCTACAACAATTATCGGGCCCAAAATGTCAACAGTGCTGAGCTTGAGAAATCCTGAACTGGAGAAATAAATATTCTGGATGCTCTGATCAAAGACATAACATTTACGAAGGCAGCCATTGCATGACAGTGGGGTGAGCTGATGACGTCTGAATTTTCACGAGGTCAGGGAGCACTCTGTTGTTGGAAGGAGTCTAACTAGGAAAATAGAAGCAACCTTAAGTATTTACAATAGAGACCATTTAATGCAGGAAATTGTCGATATATGTGATGACAGGGCTGAGAATCCAAACAGGGGATGTACAGGAAACCCCAAGATTTAGCAGCAGCGTGAAGCCACTAACATCCCTCGACCTGACTGATAAAGGGAGGAGGTTGTGTTATTGGAACCCGCGGGGTAGCATCGCCTGGAAGAAACACACCGGCATGGCAGGCCAGTCCAACAAGACTTGGAACTGCAGAAAGGACACAGCTCCTGCCCCGGGTGCCACCGGAAGCAGAGTGGGAGGGAGCGGCAGCTTGCCTTAGCCCTTGATTCTGTCCTGTAATCTTCAGTGGACGTGGAAGCCAAGGAAATGCAGCCCTCAGTGTCATCAGCACCTCCTCCCGTCCTCCAACCCACCCCACTGAAAAGCTGAGCCCACGGGGAAGGGCAGACAAACAGGCTCCAGGCGGCACCTTTCATTCCTGGTCTTCTGCAGCCCTTCTCTATGAATTTGCATCTTTCATACGAAGTTCAGGCTTCCACCTCACATGAGACAACACTCACCTCTCTCCAGCAGGGGGGCTACAAGTCCTGCCAGTCATTGTGCTCATTTCAAGTCCATGAACTCCTGGTAACGCACCGTTTTCATCTAGTCTGAGTAATTTCTGATCTGATGGCCTATGAGTAGAATTGAAAATAATGGGTTAATATATGCATAAAAATATTCATAATAGCCACAGTATTCATTTCTGTAATGGACCATGAGGCCACTGTTGGTGTTCATTTCAATCACATCATTTTTCTGTGACCGAGTTCATGTTACCTTTTCTTTCAACCACTACCTGGTGAGTGAAACCAAATTTTCACTTCTAGGAGATATGGTATGTCACTAAGGTGACACTGTCTTTGTTGGATGTTATAGTTTTCCAATGATGTTAACTATCAAACATGGCACTACTAATAATTACTCCAGAGAATTCTACTGGTTCCAAATATAAGTCTGCCTTGTTTTCACTGTTTAGCAACAAGACTATTTCCCTTGATAATTGGGATTATTCACACAAGATGAGAAATTAATACTCTTAATTAATTATCAGTTCAGTAGCATCGTGGCATGAGAAGCCCACCAGATGAAGTCATAAGCATTGTTGTGTCCTCGGTGGATGCGTTGTTTTGGGAACTAAGACCTTAAAAGCAGCAGAGTCCAAGGACGAGAAGAAAAACCTGAGTGGGTTACTGGATTCACATCCACTTCTGCACCTTCGTTTATGCATCCATGTACCCTGGCTGTGGGGGAAAAGTACACCAGATATACAAAGCATACACTGCATGCTACAACCCCATAGGATGTTGTCTCCAAGCTGGTGAGATAGCTTACTTTTCAGTAGGTCATCCAAATAGTCTATCAGGCCACTAGCTCCTAGGCATTGTGGTTCATGGAAAATGCAATACCTTTTATGGACACGGACCTCGCTGCCACATTTTTCTTATGTTGGAATTAGTTTCTTGGTTGGGAGAGTGCTATATGGGATACACTAATGGTGAATGAGGTGTCTCAGAAGTCCATAGAGGATGGTGATGAAGCATGGCAGAGGGGGAGGCAAACCCATATGTAGAATAAGCTCTGTTACCATGATGATGATTTTATTTCCCCTCTATGACAAAAGGGACCCAATGTCATAAACCTGCCCCCAGGAAGCTAGTCTCCCCAGAGAATGATAGGTAGGAAGGGCTCCATGTTGGCCTTTAGTTTTGGCAGTTTAGACACTCAGTCCTAGGAGTAGGCAGATTAACTTCATGAGAAATAGTCCATGCCATTGAGCTTACACATAGCCTCCATTCCTGGCACCACTGCCAGTTATACACAGGCCCCTGAGTAATCTCGAAAGTAGCTAAGGAAAAAGGGTGATGCACATCCATAAGATGGGGTTTCTTTTTGTTCATGTAAGTATTAAGAACCTTTCCAGAAGTAGATGACCTTTAGTGATTATTCACATGCCCACAGGTATTCTCACCTTGTGAGAGATCCCTCCATATATGCTTTCCCCAGACCTTCACAAGTCTCTGAACATCTGTAAAAACCATTAGCTACTTCCTGTAAATCATTGTATGGCCATACATCCAGCCATGTCTCCTCTACCCAAAGCTACATTCAGACATACTGATCACAGTTCTCTCGTAGATTACAGTGTGGCTCACTTTCAGCAGGTGCCAGCATTTCATGCAGACCCATTCACAAACCAAGCTGACGTTCCATTCCTCATCATCTGCTCTTAGCTAATTCTTTTTTTTTTGTTGATAATCATATAACAGACTCTTATTTATTATATGACATATTATATGACATACAAGAAATTCTTATTTGTATTCAAATGCTATTTGATATATACATCTGTATAAAATTACTTAAAACAAAGACAACACATAAATCACATATACTTCTTATTTTAAAACATGAAATATGCATTGTATTATCTAAAAAGGACAAAGAGCTGAAGCGGTAGCTGGCAGCATTGTTGCATATTTTATTATTTGTTATAAAGCAATTGCTCGCCTTTATTCTTCACCCAACAGCCTTCATTACTTTCTACAGTTTTGTAAACCAATATCTGAAGATCTTGAAATGTTAATTTGAAGATTTTTTTTATTTCAGGACATTATGGGGGTACAAACATTTTGGTTACATGTTATGACTTTGCCACACCCAAACCATGAATTGAGGTGTGCCCTTTCCACCCCTACAACGCTCACCTGGTCTGTTAGATAATTCTTTATAGGCCTTAGGGGCCTCTTGCAGAAGGTAAAGCAATGCAGCAGGAGCACGTGCTGTGAGAGCCTACACCTCATACTCATGCAAATTACCTGTGAGTCTGTCTTGCTGCAGTTTAATCTTATACATCCCATCTCCGGTCAATAAAGAATTGCTGCTGCTGCTCTCACCCAACTTGGTAAGACAGTCCTGAGCTTACGATAGGCATCTCAGGTGACATAATCAGTGTCCCATGACCAGGGGGCCATTAGCTGTTGGGGATTTGTTTTTCAAAAGGAAAATATTTATCAGCATATGGGGCTGTGATCTTGCACTAAACCCCTGGGATTCTTTGTATGAGGTATTTATTGGAGCTTTTTAGAAGGTCTATTCGGGATCCCTGAGACATTACTGAATCGAATCTGTTGATTCTGAAGTACCAAGTGGCAGACTGGCTTTCACTGCAGCCTGAGCTTGCTGTGTCAGGCACCGTTACTTTACAGAAACTCGCTTGGAATCACTATGGAGCATTCGCTTTCTCTAGTTTGTCAACAATGGGTGAGGGTGAGTTAGCCTAGGGA